TTTCAGATGTATTAAAGTTCTAGGGGGTATCTGGAATGATAGAAGTGAACGTTGACCGTCAAGTCAATACTGTACGAATCGTAAGATAATGGGGATTTAAGGATCAGAGATAAAAGGTTAGGATCAATGAGGTTTTGTTTTTAGTGAACTTATATTTCGGTAATTAAAAGTGTTAGTGTTTAATCTACATCTAATTGTCTATCTATGTTCTACCTCGCTTAGGTAGAAACATTGTGTTCTGATTACGTGATGGAATAACATTCACACCACCGAGATCATTACCAACCGAGACCTCACAAAAGCTGGTAGCGATCGAAGATGAGTAGTCTTTGTCTACTCCGCACTGCGTGCAGTTCGGTCTGGAATGTCTAGATTTCAACAAGATGGGAATTTAGCATCACTGCTGGAGAGGAGTTGAAGAGCAGAGATTTCATCAATACCACTTTACTTTACATTTTTCATTTGACCCTCAGTGTCTAACAAATGACGTCGTCCACTTTAAAACTCAGTCTGGCCATCAATGTTCTTGCATTCTTCTCACTAGGCGGTTATGAAGAACTACATCGAACGCACATTGTACGTCTAAGGTGACGAAAGTAACCGCCCATCCCTGAGTGCACGCCTCCTTAACATCGTGTACTACACAGGAGACTAGGTCTTTTGCTGAACGTCTCGAGAGCGCGCCGAGTTGTTGCCGACCAAACAGATCACAAGTTACTGCTAGGTGAGCCATCCGTTTTGCCAGAAGCCTTTCTAGCCTTTTTTTTTATACATCCTATTTGAGTCTATGACTATAAAAGTTTCTAGCCCTTTACTAAGGCAAGAAAGAAGGGCGATTGGCCTCCAACCTTTGACTGTTGTTGGTTCCTTTTTAGGCTTCTGTACAAGAATCACTTCGGCCAATTTGAAACAAGTCGGGTGCGTACCAAGTTGTATACAAGCTCTGAAGAGTTTGACTACGCATGGTCCAATTATCTTCCAGCAGGCCACTAGCAGCTGTACGGAAACTCCGTCTGCTCCTAGGGTCGTGTTTCCACAGCCGTTGGTCGAAGCTCGGACTTCTTCCTTGGAGATTTCATCCCTCCATGGTATCCTGTTATTGCTCGCCGTAGTGCGTGATAGCTAGTCGTTATTGTGATTAAGGTATGAGTAAGTATGAGATGTTGAGTATTCTAGGGATAGTGCAGAGGGTAGATAACGATTATCAGAGCTTGAAGATATGATGAATAGCTTGGTTATATTGTTCTACATATCACAGTAGTAGATAGGACTTATATACACATGTTTGGTACCAGCTATGCAGTACATCACCATCTATGCATGAAGTACTACAATCTTAATTCCATGCAATACTATCCCACATTACTCTATGCCATTGTATAGAGCTGCGCCTCAATAGTCGATCGTAATGATAGCCATGTAGGGCTGTGCAGTACTCGCATAGATGTGTTGTATCCCTAGCATTTGGCAGAGATAAATTTAGAGTAAATGCAATAATCACATCAAAACAGTCGTCCGATGTTTGGTGTCTTGCAATGAGAGAGTCACGGAGAATTGTGGCTCCCTCTAGCGGATCAGAGATGAGAACTCCATCGTGGTTAAGAGGTGGAGGAATGCTTGACTCTCTAGGAGTAGCCTTTCTCATCAAGCTAAAAACATCGTTCGGCGTGGTCAATTTTTCGACTAGCTGTGCTTGATATTCCTTTTTAGCGGCTCTGAGAACTGATCGGAGCTTTTTGGCGTACACAGAACGTTGGAGGGGTGTTGCGGCCGCTTGGTATTCGGCCCTTGCAGCCTTGCACGCCGGGGTCCATCATGGCGCAGATTTACCGGCGTTTGCTCTAGATCGAGCTCCTGTTGCACTGATGGTAGTCTTGAGGTGGGAGCAAAGTTCCTGGGCGTAGTCTTCGACCTTTTGAATCGTGTCTAGGGGTGGCGGCAAACGAACCAATTTAGCAACAGCTCGCGCAAAGTTCGGCAGTTTTTCCCTAGTCACGCGAATCTTGGCTAGCTTGGGTCTTAATACTACAAACTGGACCGGAATTATTCCTTGGATGGGAAAATGGTCGCTAGTGATACATCCATCTCGGTCTACCCATGCACGGCTACCGTCAATGTTGGTCCAGGCAAGGTCCAAGGTGTTTCCGGCTTGATGTGTGGGTTCTCCGCTGATAAAGCAAGTTAGATGGTGTTCTTCAGCCCATCTTTCAATTATTTCGCCTTGTCCATAGGGACGAGTAACTCTTGGTTGCCAGGCACAGTACACCGAATTGAAATCACCCGCAGCGATCGAGTTCGGCGGCAAGGTCCAATTGATAAGTGGCTATACGGCTAATGTGTCTCTGGGCGCCTAGTACACATTGAGGAAAGTGATTCCATTCACTACCACCCAGCAATAGTCGCCCATCAGCTTAGCGCAGGGGAAGAGTTGCCTCGCTGATATTATCCTATCATTTTTCCGGGCGTAGGTCACGGCCCTTGGCCTGACCTTTTCGCTACCATGAGGTAGGTGACAATTACTTTTCCCAGAAGTGTATGAATAGCGACTGGAATTGTCGCAATACGAAGGGCCACTAGATCTGAGGCCTTCTCCAACTTTGTGTCTACCTGGACGAACGATGCAGCAGAGTTTACAAGAAGCTGTCGTGCTTCCTGGTTTTTGGCTCGAAGTGCGAAGCCAGTCGGAACACGGTATACGTGTTCAATATTTTGCGAGGGAAGCTCGAGCACTTTTGCTGCCGCATCTCGCACGCCAGTCGGTGAGAGAGCGCGCCAGGCGTGATCTTTGCCGAGTCGAAGAAACAAACGATCGTCTTGGGCGGCTATTGTCGTAGCCTTTGTTGTAGATTTCAGTGATATGGAGGGTTTGTTATGGACTCGAACGTCTTTGATTGGTGCCGCAGGCGTCTTGAGTCCAGTACGGATAACTGTCGCCCAGGTAGATTTGACCTGAGTCACCTTGGCCTAGGTCGCTTTTTGTAGCAGCTCTGGCTGCTTTTGAATCGTTTGTTCCGCGATCTTCCCGCCGTCATTCTGGCAGTTTGGTCGTGCGGGGAGGTTGGGAAGGACTGTTCCTGGTCCCAACATCATGAATTGAGCTATTGCAGCTCGGAGGTAGACTTTCATGGAGTCTATAAATTGAACGCTCGACCCTTTAGATAGAGGTGAGAGCGCATTCTCCACACCATTGATAGCAGCGGTGCACATTGTGAGATTAGTTGCGGTCTGGGCCGCTCGCTGTTCTGCGGCTTCAAGTATGGCTCGAAGCTCGGGAGGAAAAGTCGCAGTGTTCTTGGAGCTCATGTCGCTGCAAGAAGATTGATTTTTTCCACTTGCCACCGGAATGGTATTCTGAGGTGTTGTGGTGGACGCGGATAAGTCGGCCTTTTTTGCGTCAACATTAGATGGCCGCTTCATGGCCGGCACAGCAATCTTCCTTGTGTTTATATTGACGGGATCTCCGAGGCCTGACCGTCTTCGGGCTCCTGTATATTCCATCTCGAGCTCTCAAGACCCTCTTTTATATATTGGCTGATGGCGGCATCACCCATCTCAACATCTGGGTTAGTGGAGTTCGAGTCTTCTTGGAAGGCTCTTATCCTTTTGGTCATGTCCAGCTCCATTTTTCGCCCGTCTTTCGAGCTCAATGGTATTCTTTTGCGTACCAAGTATTTTTTCAGCTTGGTATTCATTCTGTCCATAATTATTTTATGGCGAATAAGTCGCGATGATTTGGCAGGCCCCGGAGATATGTTGGAGATTCGGGGTCTTGCTACTGTGAGCATTCGGATTGATGTATATGTATGTGAGTCGGAGTGTTGGTACATTACGGTATACGCGCGTAAATAAAAGGCAATAAATAGATTCAATAAAACGATACAATAACATTCACATATATTCATTCTATCTAGCTGTTCTAGCTCTTTGGTGTCGTATAAGAATGCCAAGGGAATATTACGTAAGTAGCACTACTATAACAATTGGTTTTGAATTTGATTTCATTATCCTGATTTGGCGCCCTATGGGCCCATGCAGGTGTCTACAGTCTATAATATTTACCCGGGAGGAAACCTTTATGGTGAAAACCTCCCACACCTTTCTAATTGTTGTCTATAGTCCTCACATATTTTCTTCAGGAAGCGCAGTTACACTATAGTGCCATCCATGTAAACTAACCAGATCATCTCTATCCTCCCCCAGCATTATTTGACCTTTTCCTTTCCCTCAGCAGTATTTCGACCGCTTTTGTCATCTGGAATTGCTCTATCCAACCATGGTTTAGGATCCACTGTGTTATCCTTTTTATATCTCCAGGATTATTTAACATCGCTTCATAGGATCGATCTCTGGCTTGTCTCCAGATCTCAGCTCTACCATTTGACCATTGGGGGCAGGACATAATCATGTGCTTTGGGTTCTGTGATTGGTAGCCGCATGGACAAACTGGACTTAATACTCCGGGTACGTTTCTTCTGTGTAAATACGAGTTAAGCCCCATGTGCTCACTTCGTATTTGCATTGCCAAACTGCTTTGGGCCCTTGTGAGGTTACGGTGTAGGAAGAATGGTGAGCCTTGAAAACTCAGTTTTTGCCGTCCAGACTCTCTACTTTGGTAAAATGTGGCTGCTCTCCAAGTTTCGGAATCTGCAGTTGCTAACCGCCGAGGCTTTTGAGTTTGTGTCTGCTTGGCCCAGGATTTCGCCCACTCTTGGTATGCCATAATTTTCACTATCTCTGTATGTGTCTTCTTGGAAACAATTGGTTAATACATATTCTGCTTATTAACGTGCACATGACTTCAGTTCCAACATGGAGGGAAACTGTAATGGCAACGGGGTATCTAATTGATTCTCTCACGAATATTCAGGAATTTTAGCACCGGTCATGCGTCATGGCTAGGTAGCTGCATACGCAATGAAAATTTGATGCAAATAACAACAGTAGATACTTTTATGTCCACGTGCACAACCAAAAATTCAATAATCATCTTCTTCTACCTCCTAGATATTTTCCAACTTGCAAAATTCCCCAGTATTCTCGTCACCATCAACGTGTACCACTACATCCAAGACTGCGTATTCAATAATTGATAAAATAGCATAAAAAGTGCTGGTATCTTTTAATTTTAAATTTCAGCAGCTGCAAAATGTAGGAAGGTCTTTGAAAGAATTACCTTGCGGATCAATTCTCAAAGGAATTTTGGTCTTTAGTCCAGGACTTCCCCCTGAACCCATAGCTCTTGTCGAGATAAAACTTCTTTTGGTGACTGCGTTAACCGCTTCATTTACGGTTTCTAACGTAAAATTATGTCTACCACATTTATATGTCCAACCAGCAGATGTAATCCCCAAAAGTCCCCATAGCGCGATTGCAGGTGCCAGATTGAATGTCTTCATAGTCACGAAAGGGTATGGCCTAGCAATGGCGATTTGCGCTCAACTAAACGGTTACTCCAATCCCAGCTCGATAGAGAATTTTGGAAACCTACATTCGTGGTTTTCGTATATATCAATTAGAATTAAACACCGACTTGAAAGATAGCTGGGTGGAAAAGGGTGAGATTAGGTAGTCCTTGCGGCACTTACGGGATAAAGCCACTGATAGTTTATACCCCTTCTTCATCATCACCCGCAAGCAACGTTGAGTCCAACAAGACTTTCCTTCCCTCTCAAGTGTACTAAAGTTCACTCTCGGCTCAACTTCATACATGTCCCTAAGCTAATAACACGCAGTTCATGCAGCTACAAATGTTCAACATCAGGAGTGAGAAATTTGACCGCGTACCGAGCCATGAATGGTCAAGAGCGGGGGAAATTGACTCGCCATCAAATTCGATCCACACCAATTTCAAGCATGTTACATGACAAGCCTTCTCAGGGTTGAGGGAGATTCCATCCCAAGAAGGATTTTCATAGACTCCATTTTTAATGGCTTCCAGAATTAAAATACGCTGGAGTAATTATTTGTAGACTGTAGCCAAGATTTGAGCAATACTAGCAGTAGCTTATTTTAAATCAAAAAATGTATTTCAAGCATCGGTAGGTACCACAATTTTTGAAAAAATGAACTTGTTCAACAACTCTTTGGGATATCCCGAATGAGAAACTACAACCACAATCACAGCTACAAATTAGACAATAGATCTTGCTACTGCGCAGTATGGGAATCCTTGCTGGTCGATATGTCTGATACAGTCCACGGAAAGTTTGAACTCTCGCTTTGAGCGGCAGGATTCCGGCTTCCTCTCAAGAACCATGATAATATAGACATGGACTATCAAACAAGGGGAAGGATTCTGCAATATCTGAAGCTGTAATGGTAGCTGGAGAAGCGCTCATCTCATATTAGCATGCGTCACTACATCGATCCATCAAGATCTCGTGACAGCTCGTCGTGAGACACTCTTATCCTTCACATCCACAGTTTCCAAGATATTTATTGGCGTCTCGCAAAGTTTTCTTTCAACTCATACTCGGCAGGAAGAACCTTTCTTGTTTTTTGACCACGGTACACGCCGATAACTTTGAAAGTTCTTAGAAGCAAGGCTAAATTAGGTTTGGAAGTTCTCTCTCTTTTCAGAACTTTTCAAAATCCCCTTCTCACAAATGTTGATAAGTTCTTGGGCGCAAGTCAAGAAATTCGTTCGAAGGAATCGATGAAGGTGGTATGTGGGAAGCAGTATGTGGGAAGCAGGATGTGTCTTTAGTACATATCCAAAAGCCCATAGTGTTCGCCCACTTGGTCTTTCGGGACATTTTGAAGCTGTAGCTTTTCCTTGGATCAGTTCCAGATTCTGTAAAGAAAAGGCCAGCATCCACTGTATTTCACAAGTTCCCCAGCTATACGATACCATTGATTGATCTTTGTAGTGTTGGAAATTCACACCCGCTATGTTTGAAGTTTCCTTAGGATTGGAACAACAAAGATTTTTACATCTGACTCACGACCAGAATTAATGAAAATCGCTTCATTGAGCATGTTTGATGAATGAGACTCGACTGAACCACGGTGTGATGTGATACCCGGTGGGTAGAGTTTGATTCATCAACCCTGTTCTCATTGGGATTGCCAGAGTATGGAACTAGGCCCGGGGTCGATACTTGGATTAGTTCTGTATTTAATCGATATATGTATTTAAACTGTCCAAGCATCCCTAAGACAATTAATTCAATCCATTTTTATTTCTCCACAGTATATCACATACTCTCCTGACTCATATCATTATTTTTCTGTTCATAGATCGCACTCATATTCTATGAGCAGCCTTACTCATCGAGCCCATACCGATTTTCCAATATTTATCGAAGGCTAAAGCTGGAAGATTAGATAAAGCTACTGAAGTCATCATCTGTGACTTTGGATAAGAACGGGTGTGTGCGTTGATGCTAGATTGGACCAATGAAGATGGCAAAGTGACTTCAGATCCTTTGACTGAAAGTACTACTCTCTTAATTGCAGTCTTAAACTTGATGTGACAGTCAAAGCCATCACTTGATATCTCCAGAGGGAATAATTAAGATGTGTGTGAAGGAGCGGGATCCTATAATCATTCTCGTGTTGTCCCTGTCAAAGCATCCGATAGCATGAGTGCGCTGTATCGAGATTCAGTCGTTTTTCCATGGCCCGCATCATCATCATAATCAATTATGGAAAAGCTGGCTCTTGAAATCCCATGCATCTCGGGCTCCTGTGCTTTCGACTGATCTAGATCTGAGGATCGCGACACAAGGAGTGAAAGGGATCATTCGAAGAGTACTGGAATGGCTGGAATACTTCTAGAATTCATTCGTGCCAAGTTAATTTCCTTTTCTCCCAAGTCTAAAGGCTTATTCGTGCAGGGTTCGCGCTTCGGGTTCGATGTCGACATAGTCGAATAACATAGTGGAATAAGAATTGAATTGAATAATTTAAGGTATCAGGCTAAAGCCCTACAGCCATGAGGCGTGACACGGGTGCGTGTTCCCTACGGAACCCACAAACACCACTGATGCTGGCTTTATGTGGCCAAAAATTTACATGATCTAATAAAGACAAAAATTTCATCAAAAACTTTTGCTGCCCCGACTTAACGCCCTGCGCCTAACCAGCTATCTCATAGCAGTTTCCTGTACTATATGTATCCCAGAATCCCTCGGTCATTCAAGTCCTACTTTGCACCCCGTAGCATCCTGTTATGGTAAGGAATCTATAAAAAGCTATCCATCCCTTTTCTCCCAACATTGTCCATATAATTGGTGCTATTTCCTTTGTTGTTTTCCGCCATTCATTTAGCGCTGTCCGGCATTCAGAGAAATGCCACGGGATAGTGGAATAAGGATGCCACTGTTGTTTGTTCGTCCGGGATATCCATGCTGAGTAAAGGAGCGCAGAGGATGGACCTTCATGCGCGATAATAGTAATTATCAAGGGGAGAGCAAGACTGAACACCTGTACGCGGTGACCTCTACGAACCTGGGAGTGAAATATTCTCCCAGAGCCAAGTTCAGTCAAATTCCGCAATATCAAAGAAGTTGACCTACAGGGCTAAAATTTAAATTACTCCACCACATCGCTTTTTCGCTCTCAAAGAGTTTGACTCCTACCTAAGTCTCATCAAGTTTACAAGTACGACCTAGCACATCCTCACCCCAATGATCACACCTCTCGTCGACCTTCTCTGGCCTCAGTTGACCACCAAATACATGCCCACGCCGATATTTACACCCGACGGAGGAAGCAAAGCGTGGCGCACAAATCTGGAAGATAGTTCACTGGGATGGACGTGAGATGGACCACGACAAGTTGACAAGATGATGCAAAGGAAGGATATCACTTTGATGGACGTGAAATTCCGAATTTTGGTAAGGAGTTTTACGAATTGGGCTTTGTGTGCGCAACACATAAGTCGCAAGAGTGCAGCTGACACCATAAAAGCAAGCAAACGATGGAAGGTGCTGTGGTCCGCCTCCTGTTTGTTTGTTTTTTTTTTTTTTTATTACATTTGGTCCTAAGCTAACGCTATCTTTTCCACATTGGGTCAAGGACCGGTGGAGCCGGCAAGGATCACTGCGTACAGGCCCAACTCATTCCAACCGCATGAACTTCTACTGAAATTGTAGAAGTTAACAGCAAAACTAAAATCAAAAACATAAATCAAAAACTGAAATCAAATTTGGAAGAAATACTATTTGGTCCGGATCCCGCGCTTCTCGCCCGTTCCCTTTCCTGCCACATCTTCCACGTGACTTTTTCTTATCTCCGCTGAGAGCGAAAGACTAGTTCGCAGATACCCTGAATTCAGCTGGTATCCTGCCATATATATTGAAGCTTTTTGTAGACTTCACCGAGGGTTGCTGTGCCCTCAAACTTCTTCTTCGGATCCCAGGATTCCGAAACCCGATCCCTCGGCCATCGAGACATCCTTCGTTGAGGCCATCGTTGCCTTTTCGGCCCTTTTGGCTGCAACCCTAAATCGAGCCACTTTCGAACTCCCCTTGCTGGATCTGGCGGATCCGCGCGAGCTGCTCTTTTGTCACCGGTCCGGACTTGCTGGATCTGGCTAAGCAGGCCCGGGAATCCGATCGGTGAGGTCCCCCACAGTTTCGACACCGGGTGAGGGCCTTGCACTCTGATTCTGAGTGCATATTAGATCCGCAATTCCAGCAAGCTGGAGCGCGGGAACAACCACGGGTGGCGTGAAATTCAAGACACCGTTTGCATTGTTCGATTTTGCGACGAGGTCGGAAGAGCTTTGCAGCTCCAGAGTCGTCGAAAAGGCGGAATCCAGGTCGAGGAGCGGATTCTCGGGGAAATAGCGCTTGCCAATTTGAGTAGGGCGCCCCTGGTTTGCTAGTCCCATGAGGACGAACCAGAAAGGGAACCAACTGGGTCACTCGCGTGACTTCGTCGGCAACCATCTTTGCCGTCACGGCGATTGGGCCAGCAAGAGTTCGAATTATCTCCGGGATGGTGGTAATTTGCATGGCAACCAGATTTGATGCTGGTTCCAGTTTGATTCCAGATTCGCTCCGTGATGTGGAGGAATCTAGGAGCTCTGTTCGAGCGAGTTCATCCTTTGCGGTTATTGCAAAGCCGGTCTTTACCCGCTGAACCAACGTGATATTGTTGGCAGCGGTTCCCAGCGCCTGAGACACCGCTAGCCTTACTCCAGCTGGAGAAAGAAGACGGTGGGGATGGAAATAGTCAAGTCGCAGAAAAAGTCGTGAATCGGCTTTTCCATTCGAGTTGGCACTCTTTGCTTTCTGGGCGGGCGGTGCTGCCTTTTTTGTCGATGGCCCAGCGCTGCTGACTAGGCCTGCCCGAGCTACGGTGGACCAAGTTGTCTTTGGGGCCGGAGTCTGTGTTTTCATAGAGTGTCCTAATTTCTGGAGCCCTCGGTAAGAGAGGGTTGGCGGGG